GAATTGATGACAATAGTAAAAAAGTTGACAATTGAGTCTCTTTTGGGGGTCACGATGTGATCGTGCCAAAATATTAATTTGTTACGGGTCTTGGAAAATTTTCATTCATTAATGGAATTATATTTGGTGCGCGCAACATGCACAAATGAATTATTTTTTTCAACGTCACGAAGAAAAATAAAAATGGTACTGTCCGATAAAGTGGTCAACAGTGGGGGCGCGATAGCAAAGGAATAACAGGGTGTAGTTTTTGCCGCGCGTGTTAAAAACACGCACAAATTATGGTCGCGACAAACAAAAATTATACCCTAAGAAGCATCTCTTGGACGCCTGTCTAATTCTAAGTTGACGAATGGAAAGAGCACTATCCAATTGAGGGGGACACAGCTAAGCAGCTTAAGACCACCAGACTAATCGCCCAGTCCAAGTTAATACAATTACTTAAAGATCCAGGTCATTGGGATGCTTAGGGATGCTCTGGCGGCTTAGAACTGGTCTGCCGAAGTTACAGTAGTAAGGGGCCAAAATTCCTGCGTTAATTTTAGGTGTAATTTTATTGCGAATTAACTCGTACTTACGAAAAGGGGTTAGCGCTCTTCGCAAGGTGCAATGCAATTATCGATTGAGTCTATTACGATTACGTACGTACGTAGGTAGGTAAATTGCGTTTCTAAAAGATACGGTACATTTAGCCGCAATAAAATTTTACGACAATTAGCTATTGGAAATATCATGGTAGAAGTCGTTGCATATTGCACACCACTCTCAAGGGGTACTGTGAATGGAAAGCGGTGGTTCAAAAAACACAGTGAACCAAAACTAAGTACGAAAAATGCAAGATGCTGGAATGGATGTCACTTAGCGCAACACATTCGTGAGTAAAGTGCGCTTGCCGGAGTTGTTTTCGACTTCGTCTACGTCGAGTCCTTCCGTCCCTTCCCGAAAAATCAAGGTGTACTGGTGGACCTCCACGGGCCACCCTCCATCTGCAATGGAGTTCTGATAATGGATTGCCAGGTACTTCTCGGGATTTGACCGGAATTCTTTGACCCCATCGACAATGCATTTTCCCTTTACCACTCTTTTGTTCAGTTCGTCGAAGTAGACCCCGCCGTCATAGGATTGCTCGACGATTTTGTAGGACGAGTTCGGATCCGATTCCTTGTCGACAATCCATGGCTCAAGTGGTGCCAATGGCTCGTTGGTTGGCTGTTTTTTCTTTGTTGTCTGCGCTTTCTTTTTCGTGCGCTTGAATTCGTCCTGTAGATCGTTGGTGTAATCTTTTTCTCGTAGCCTCGTCATATTGAATTTGCAGAGATAGATCGATGGAAAGTACTTGAAAAACTCGTCCTTCGTCAACCAAAAAAGACCCATATCTTCGGGGATTGGATTTAGCTCATACCGAACCTTTGGGTACTTTTTCCATCCTGGACCGTCAGCCATGAATTCGCCTTGCATTGCATCGCATAGTGTGTATATGGTTGGGGTGACATTCGTAAGAAAGCATTCGTAGCGAAGAAACAAGAAAATATTGAACAATAGTATATGCAGACAAGATACATTCGTGAAACTGAACCTAATCGTCACCCTTGTACTTACCGTGTTCGAGTCCACCACCTTTGCCCCAGGGATTACGCACTAGCAACAAATCAATTCCAGTCCCACCGATGTTTTGGCGGCTATCGATGACGCTGTAGGCGTGGTTGTCAACGATCCCGTCCGTCTTTTCGTCATCGGATTGACCGGATGTCCCTGCACCCACCAGGTAATTGGTCTCGTCCCAGGCCACGATCTTGTCAAAGAGCTCGTCTGCAGTAATGTCCCGACAACCGTCGGAATCCTCGCTGGTGCTACCAACCCTGGGCCAAGGGACGCTCCAGATTGCCGACCCGTCCTTGTAGTCGTGTGGCGAATTAGCGTGCGGAGACCATTCTTCTTTGTAAGAATCGTATCTTGCAGAACACGAATAGGTCACTGTGTCGTTGCCATCGGAGTTGTTTGATTTGGGATTTCTCTGGATGATGTACTGGTTTCGGCTTCCCGTCAGCATCGGCCAGGCGTGTGTGCAGTTTCCTCCTACGGATTTTGCGCATTGTTCGATGTTCGATCGATCACCAATTGTTGTTGTTGTCAGGTTCGTTCGTGCGTAATCATATGCATTCGTTCGTGTTGCAGTAAAGATACGAATAGCAAGGAACAGGAAGGCGGACATTGAAGAAGCATTGGAACAAGATAAAGAAATATTTGAATTGTTAAACCATGGCGAATAAAACAATCCAAAACAAAACGCAATATATTACAGCAGCAGTGTAGCACAACACAGCGCAGCGCAACTCAGCAATGCACAACCCAGTCTTCCTTTCCTATTCAAGTTCGCACGCACTCACCCTCGAGCTTGTCGTATCCGCCGCAGTGAATCGCAATCGCCTTTTCGAGATAGGGGACCCATAGCTTGCCGTCTCTCGACGGCCTGGCCCCAAGCAGTTCATTGGGATTGGAAAGGCGGATTGGCAATCGTTCGTCTACCACCACATCGACTTCCTCCCAGGTAGTGAGATCCCACAGGGTCACGGTGTAGGAGTTGCCGCTCGGAGTGTCGTCGCTTCCGTCGGTGGGGAGTTCTCCCAGGTGCTGTGCCGTTTGGGTCTTTCGGAACAGCCGCTGGACGGCCCAATCGAAGTCAGCGAGGCAGGCAATCGCCGAGAGGAGCCAGCAATCCCCGATGCTGCCCTGAACGATGTCGTTGGGTTCGGCGATGCAGTCCTCCTCGACCGGAGACGTCAGCCCCACCAGCTTGGTGCTCGGGGCGTCGGCCAGTCCCATGCCCCGGCCGGGCAGGAGCGGGAGCCGTTGGAGGTCGCCGGTTTCGCTGTGGAGCTTTTGCCCCATGTAGGTCATCGAATCCGTGTGGGCATCGCGGGCGTCGAGTGGCAGCTTGTTTTCTCCAAAGGGTACGAGCCTCTGGTAGACGTGCTGCCAGAGGCAAAAGGCTCCCGTCCCGTCGTTTCGGACGTCCAGCGGTCGGAACACCGGTGTGCCGGCTCGGAGAACGTAGGTGACCGGGATCTTGTTCGATTGGTTGCTGTTGTTGGGGTAGAGCATCGCCAGATAGGTCTCGGGATCGGCCTTGAACGCTTCGATTGCCCCCCCGAGCGATTCGGCATCGACCAGGACCTCGGTTTGTTCGATCGCGTCTGGATCCTCGCACGCAAAGAGTCCATCGAAGGTCTGACCGGTTGGAATGGTCCAGCTGTTGTTGCTAGCCCCACCTTCGTTTTTCCATAGGGCCAGAGCCTTGGCGGAGCGTTTCTTTTCGTAGTCTTCCAGGGCTTTGCCGCCGATTGCCAAGAGGGCGCTCCGCTTTGGAATTCGTTCTACAAACGACGGATCCTCTTGTTTCCGTTGGTCGAACCTTTTCTTCTGTTCTTCTTGCTGCTGCTTCTTTCGTTCCTGGACTTCGCGTTTGTCGGCTTCTTCCTGTTTTCGTTTTTGCTGCTCTTCTTGTTCTTGTTTCTTTCGCAGTTCTTCCTTTTCTTGAAGCTCCTTCTGCTTCCTTTCTTCCTCCTCCTTCCTTCGTTTCTCCTCCTCTTCTTCTTTTCGCTTCCTCTCCTCTTCTTCTTCCCTCAGTTGCTGTTCTTTTCGCTGTCTCTCTTCTTCTTCCCTTCGCTCCTGTTCTTTCTGCTTTCTCTCTTCCTCTTCCCTTCGTTGCTGTTCTTTTCGCTTCTTCTCCTCTTCTTTCTTTCGGTTCCTCTCTTCTTCCTTTTCTCTCAGTTCCTGCTCAATCCGCTTCCTCTCTTCCTCTTCCCTTTGTTTCTGTTCTCTTCGTTCCCTCTCCTCTTGCTCCCTTTGCTGCTGCTCTCTGCGCTTCTTTTCCTCTTCTTCTCTACGCTTTCTCTCTTCCTCCTCCCGCAGCAGTCGTTCCCGTCGCTTCCTCTCCTCTTCCTCTGCTTTCCGCTTTCTCTCTTCCTCCTCCCTCAGCTCCTTTTCTTTCTTCTTCTTGTAATCCTCCATCCACTTCGTCTTCTCCGATGCTTCGTCCTCCTTTTTCTTTCTGGCTTCCTCCATCCGTCGCTTGGCCTCCTCCCGGTGCTGGTTGTTTCTCGAGTCCCTGTCGGCCTTGGCTCTTTCCCTCGCTTCCCTCCGCTTCTTTCTCCGTTCCTCCTTGCTGGTCTCGGCGTTCACCGCGGCTTCCTCCACGTGCTCCTCGAAGGTCTTCCAGCCCTTTTTGGGGGGGATCGGGGCATTCTGCTTCTTCGAGGTGGACGCCGCCCTGGCCTTGGCTTCCTCCGTGGCGCCGTTCTCGATCGCCTCGTCGAGGATCTTGATCATTCCCTTGGAGGAGGTCCCCTTTTTGTCCCTCTCCTTCCCGCGGCGTTTCGGCTTAACCACAGGGCTCGACCGGCCCTGCTTCTTGGGCGCATTGGATGCGGATTCGTCTTCCCCTCTCTTGCTCTTGGGCCGCGAGGACATGTTGCGGTGTGTCGCACCGACGCTTTGTCCCTCTCTCCCGGTATTTATTAGAGGTAATTATCTGTCTATATTTCTTGCGATCGACCAATCGATCGATATGTTCTCTTTCCCAGTCGCTGTTACACTCGCACCCGACCAAACATTCATTCCGTGGGGTTTTTGTTTTGGTATCGAACAAGTACGAGACTGTAGTACCGTAAAAGTGTACACGAAAAAATAGCATCGGGGGACTGTTTGGTGGGACTTTTTCCTTCTTCTCCGGTTCGTACCGGCACTGCTGTTTTGTCTTGAAGTACTACTTGTACGAAGTAGAAGTGCTTGTAATGGGTTTTGTTCTTCGGATATTTATGATGACTCATGTTAGACATAGTGGTGGCATATGACCGATTATACCCAACACACTGCGGAGTATGTTTCGTACCTAAACAAAATACTAATACATACTGTATTTGGATATCAACAATGCTTTCTTGTGGTGTAGAAGTACCTCAATATATTTTGTACTGTGTTCTACTGGGCTAAAGATGGCATCATTAAATTAACTACAGTATGGGAACCACTTTCTTAGTTCCGCGATCACTTTTTATGATATGCGTAGTATGTCTAATAATCGTCGAGCAATTAGTCGCGCGCGGGTAATCAACAAGTAATCAAGGTCAAATGGAACAGTAATTTAATTTCACAAATGCTGTAGATTCTTTTCCTAGGGATTCGTGCTCATACCTTGATTACTCGTTGATTACCGAGTAATCAACAGGAGGGCCGAATCCGAGGGACGAAGATGAGACCCTCCTGTTGATTACTCTAGTAACTCACTGAAGTTGTGTCTGAATCCGAGGGACGAGGAATGAAGACACAACTGAAGTGAGTTACTTTAAGCGCTTAAGACTAATTGCTCGAGGATTATTGACGTAATAGACTAGTTTGCTCAGTTTTTGTTGAGTAATCGATCGCGCTTCCCTCCCCGGAGCCTGCAAACAAACTACAAGCACTGCCTCCTCCGATACAGGGGATTGGGCTCTTTTCCCTCCCCGGTCCCCCTCTCTGGAGCCTGCAAATGAACTACAAGCACTGCCTCTGNAGGGGATTGGGCTCTTTTCCCTCCCCGGTCCCCCTCTCTGGAGCCTGCAAATGAACTACAAGCACTGCCTCTGTGATGTAGGGGATTGGGCTCTTTTCCCTCCCCGGTCCCTCCGGATAGCTGCAGCTGCTTCTTTTTTTGCTTCCGACAGCTGAAATCAGTCCTTATTTTATGATCCCGGTACAAAAGTTACGTAGGATTCTACGGCAAAATTAGATATCAAGGCACTAGACTGCTCAATTTTGCTAAAATCCGAATTTTTTCTAGTACATTATTCTACCTGAATTCTACGTAGACTCTCAACAGACTCACCATCACGATACGATTAGCTGTTCAACAGAAACTGCCTCCACAGCAGCTTTCAACAGCAACTGTCTCTGCGATAGTACACTACTACTATCTCGTCCAAATGCTGTATCGTTACATGATAACGCACAATGGCGGAGCAYTATGATGTTGTTTGCTTCTGATTTCTTCACGAATCTTGCTGATGCTCAACTCAAGCCGCATATGCACTTGCTCAACTTTGTGAGTGATGTCTCTTGCAACTGCTTTCAGCTCATCCGGAATATTGTTTGGCAAGTCTGCTAACTTTYGATTGCTTTCAAGAAGATCATCGTTCACTTTGTCAAGCTCATCTTCAAGCTCTGCAACTTTGTCGGCTTGGACATCTTGCATGCGCTTGATTTGCTTTTCTTGTTGCTGAATCGTGGCCTCRAGATCATGAACAATAGTGGTCAGCTCAGCATTATCAGTCTTGATTTCCTGGAGCTCTTTTCGATGCTTCTTTGCATCCTCACTTGCTTGTTCTTTGAAACTACTCTTCCGCTTCTTTGCTTTCTTCTTTAGCTCAGCAATTTCTTTTTGCAGGGAAAGCTTGGTTGGAGACACATAGGAGTTTCTTCCGGCAGTGATGATGGTGGCAGCTGACGCTGGTGGTGGTGCCAGCGTGTTCTCCTTGTTACTACTATCGACGACGACTGCTCCTGCTGGTGGTGGTGGTGGTGCGCATGCTGCTGGTGCTGGATAGGGACGAGGAGGAGGCTTCCTACCTGCAACACCTTCCCGGAGCGCTGCTTGAAGCTGGTTTTGAATCATYGAGTTATCATGAATATACGGCTCAGCTGACTTTGCATTCTTATGGCGCACATGGTTCATCCTCATCTTATCAGTTACATTCTCATTAGATGCAAGAGCTGTGATACAGCGATGGCGATTATCATGGGGAGTGAACTTCTCCCAGTCCGTGAAGCCTGCTATCTTTGCAAACTCTTTGATCCACTCSCGAATAGGATCCCCTCCAATCTGTGAAAAAGGCTTGTAATGATAAGGATTGCCCTTCCTCCTCCTGTGGTTCACGTAGCAGAAGAACCGCTCTTGCTTTGGGTTGCAGAGACTTCGATAATAGAATAATAGCTTCACGATGCAGTACTTGTCCTCCTTTTGCTCGATTACTCTTGGCTTTTGTGTATTCACAGTCGGATGAAGAACAGAGATCTTGTTTCCTTTATCATTCCCTCCGCATGGGGAAATGGTTACATGCCTCAGTCCCTTGTTTACTCCACAGTCGTATGTACC